TATTAAGGAGTTTGAAATTTTAAAAATAGGTTGATCATTAATGCTTTCTATATTTTATCTAAGTAAAAATTACTAATATGTAGCAACTCAAAATATATATAAATTCCTAGCCTAATATTTTGAACTTTATAAATATTTCTAAAATATACTACTTACCGAGGTGCCCCATTTATACTAACCACTCGATTTTCTCTTCCTCTTCTAATTCTATAATGCTTATGAATGCTCTTTATAATGTTTGGTGATGAAAAGTTAGTATATTCCCTAACTTTAGTGATGTAAAAGTTAAACCTCAAGGTCTTTAAAAGTATATCCTTCCCAAATTCATGAAAGAAAATAGTGAATAAGAAGATTTGTTGAAAAAGAGAATTAACTAATATAACTCTTAAGAGTTTAAATGAGAGATAAAGAGACGTGATCGACAAGAGTTAATGACACTAATAATTCTGCAAATATAATGATCCAAAGTAAAATATTAGATAGATATTTTACCCTTTAAAAATAATTTTTTATTGGATAAAATTATAACTATAGTTGAAAATGTAAAATTCTAGACGATTTCATACTAAAATATGAATAAAAATAAACGATTTTTTAAATAAATACTTGAGTTTTTAGAACTAATAGTAAAATAAATTCATTTTACTTCTTTTAAAACTATTCATATACGAAAAATTATTTTTCAAGTTGATAAAACCCATATGGTACATAAATTTATTTTTATAAGAAAAATATTGGTGAAAAGAGAAATTAGAGATAGAGCAAACTTGAAGCGAAAAGGATAAAATATTAGAAGACAAAACGTATTCTAAATGAGTTGTAATTTTTCATCATTCATTATAAAGAATGGTAACTCCCTATATTTTTTATACATTACTTCTTGTAAAATATTAACTCAACATTGGCGGAGGCAAACGAGAAAAAAATATAATAAGGCATTTGAGAACTTATGTGATGGCAGATTACTTTTTCTAATTTGTATTTTACAACTCAAATATATTATGTGGTATATATAAGAAAGATAGAGAGAGATTTTCTCAAAATCTTATATTCACGAATATAGTATACACGTGCAAAGCACGTACCCTAAGACTAGTATATATTAAAAGCACGAAGGTCCTTAACAAAATGTCGTTCGCCTTTTTCACCCTTTCAAAATTAATTTCACATTAGATAAAATAGTAATTTAAGTTACTTTCCTAATATTTAGGACTATGAAATCAATTTAAATTTTATTCTTATATTTATCCTTATTTAAATTATGTTGGAAGTTCTAATAATTAGGACTGTAAAATAAATTGTTTACTTATTTAGACTATGTTACACAACTATAATATCTTACATAAATTTTCCTAATATTTAACTTTCATCAACCGTTCATATTCATATTGGGACATTTCGATCTGAATGTCCATGAAGATAAAATTGGGAAGTGTGAATTAGAGTTGAAGAAGGTTATCTCTCTCTTTCTTTTTTTTTTTATTTTTTTTTTTAAAGGGCACTCTGTATATTTGAACTATAATACATTTTTACCTACTAAAATAACATATTTTTTTCTTCACTCATTTTTTGTATAATGATTAAAAATTACATTCAATACTTAGAACAAATAACAAAGAAAATATTCAACAATATAAAAGAGAAAAAGAGAAAAAGGTGGTTGGCAAAATTAATAACACTAATAGTCCTGCGGACACAAAGATTCAAAATTGAGTTTATTCTTTGAAAATAGAACTCTTATTAAATAAAATTGTAATTGCAGTTAAACATTTATAATTCGAAATGGACTAATATATATTAAGAATTTGAATTACGAAAATGAATATTTTTTTAATATTGAGAAATAAATAATTAACTAATTGACAAAAGAAATCCATTTTTTTTAAAAAAAAAATTCATTATATAAGTAAAAAATTATTTTTATGTTTACACATCTCTCATGATATATAAATTTATTTCTAAAAGGATAGAATTGGCGGTGAAAGGAGTCATAAAATAGGATAAAGTCACTTATACTATGATATTAAGAGCCAAAATAATTAAGACGCAAACTCCATAATAATCAATTGGATAGTCATTTAACTATTTCTTAAGTCATCTAATTAATATTTTGGCGGTAAATTAAAGTCATTTAATTAATGTTTTTTAATATTTAGAGATAGTCATTTAGTTAATTCTCTAATATTAAAAAATTGTTATTTAATATTTAATTATATTGGTAATATTTAAATTCCTAATTTATAACTCCTAAATTTAAGGCAAAATTCTCAATATTCAAAATTTTATGTTACGCATAGTTGGGATTTAGTATTTGATATTTAGGCAAAATTCTTTAAAAATAAATCCTCGCCGTCAAACAAATGGCTTTAAATATACATAATAACAAATATTATATGGAAAGGAGTTCAATGCAATAAGGAAAGGATAAAGTATATCCAAGATGGAATAATATGGACACAAAATCTTAATTGATTTATAATTCCTAAATTTAAGACAAAATTTTCGCCCTTCCATATATGTTACGTAATGTTAGGATTTGAAAGGTATTTTTAAGGAAGTCTTCATATAAGGTGAAATATTTATCGATTTTAAAATTTTTAATACTAAGACTTCCTACATAGTTTAAAATAAGAAAATATTTAATAATTAAAATTTTCGTTGATTTCACACATGAAGTTATCATTTTATTATTTTATAATATTCAATATTTTAAAATCAACTAAAATTTATGGTTCAAATGTAGTTACTGGATTCTACTCTTGCAATAGTAATTTATTCTTTTTTAATTTATCGGAGCACTTTATATAGTATTTTCTTTTGATTAAGGAAATAGAATAATTTATATTTTTCTCCCGAGAAAGAAAAAGTTATCGTTAATTAGTTAACAGACCATGTTTGTGTTAATTAGAGAACTTGAAAATGACTGGAAAAATAGAATAATCTTCAAAATACCTCTTTTATAAAAAAAATTAAAAACTTTTAAATCTTTAAAGGCTATATATTCTTGCTGAAACTAAAAAGGAGGTATGATAAGTCGTAAAATTCAAGAGCATATAATTTTAGTTTGTAATCTTACATAATTGTTAATATAATATTTATGAGAAACTTCTTAAATAATCACTCACGAGATAGGTACACGCGTTACGCGCGTATCCTAAGACTAGTATATATATACACACACACACACCTAGTAGGGTCCTGACCTGACCTCGTCACTACTCGACCGAGGTTAGGCTTGGGACTTACTAGGTACCGTTGTGGTGTACTCATGCCCTTTTCTGCATATGTTTTCGTGTGCAGATTCAGGTTCCTCTTACTAGCCTCAAGTTTAGTTAGCAGTTATTGCTATTCCGGAGACTTCAAGGTACATCTGCCCGCATTCGCAGACCTCGGAGTCCCCTTCTATCCTTTCTAATGTTGCTTCCCTTTTATTCGTTCCTAGTACAGATGTATAGAACAGTTAGACAAAGATTTTAGAAAGCTTGTGACTTACGGTGTTTCGGGTCTTGGGAGAGTTGTGTATATTTCTAGAGTGATTATTATATATGTCGAGCGGCATCTCAAATGCTTATTTAAATTATCTGTTACTGTTAATTGTTAATTTTCATATTCTTCATTTCATTTTCGCAAATGTTAGGTTTACCTAGTCGTAAAGATTAGATGACGTCACGACAATTCACGAAGGAAGAATTTGGATCATAACACTAAATTAGTAGCGCGTCTTTATACTTTAGATAAGAGAGGGAAGGACTAGAACCCAATGGGTCATTTCCAGAAGAGGATTCTCTTTTATCCCTTCAAAAGAAAAAAGAAAGGAAAAAAAATTATCTTTTTATATGTTCTCTTTCTTTAAAATTAAAAAAATGGTTGTCATCTAAACTCATTTTAAAATTAAAAGTGACATGAGTTGACTCACTAGCTATGAAATTTTCATAATGACCCAAAAAAAGGGTCGAAATTTATACTACTCCGTTTTAATTTAATCTCAAGGAGAAAATTGTGAATTTATCATAATTTGATTATTGTTACGCTAACTATTAAAAATAAAGTATATTGTAGTTTTTTTACGACTTATTATTTTTTGTGAACGAAGCACGTCTCCTGTGACCGAGTATTCCTGATTCAGCTCCGATAATGCATTTTCGAGAGGAGCCAATAGTTGGGAACTAGATCCCATTGGCCCTAGGTCGGGATTTAATGAATCAAGTCGCTCCACAATTTTGATTATTTGGAGTTTTTTTTTTTTTTTGAAGTTTGATCAAATCAATTGAGAATCTCATCATCAATTAGGCGTCCACGTCACATAAATTCATATTTTATAATATTTTGATATTCCTCATAAGAATTTATTGGGCAACAACTTGGAAAATATTGCGAGCATGGATTCATCGAAGAATTAATAGTACCTTATGTTTGCATTCCTCTGTTGATAGTTAAAATACTTTAAAGATTAAAATGTTAAAACTATAATGCCTAGTTAGGACAATCTTTCCACAATTCTTACATGATGCAAACTTGTTAAAAAGAGAGAAAAAAGGTCAACTCGGTGCACTAAGCTCTCACTATGCGCGGGATCCGATGAAGGATCGGACCACAAGGGTCTATTACACACAGTCTTACCCTGCATTTCTGCAAGAGGTTGTTTCCACGGCTCGAACTCGAAACCTCCTTATCACATGGCAGCAACTTTACCGGTTCTCACTAGACCAGAAACATAAAAACAAAATTTATAGGACCGGCTTGAAAGTTGAAAGAGTCCTACAAAACCAAAATTGGGAAGAAAATACAAGGAAGAAGAGGAAGAGAACATAACATAGAAACCAATAGATTCTCACTGTTTCCTGTAGAATTTGGGGAATTGCACAGGATGAATGCAATCAGAAAAACCTTGACAGTGTTAAAACTATAGTTGTTACAAAGAACTCTCTGATGTGTAGTCATGTTTTAAATTTACCATACTCTCATCAAATTTATTTTGACTAAAAAACTTACCCCAACTCTTAATAATGTAGCATTAACTATAGGAGTCTGAAATATGAAGAATGTCAATCTGTTGTAAAACTCTCAACTGTTGACACAATCGTTACACGTTTGAAATCAAGAACCAAAAACATTCTTAATCTGATCAAAGTGAGTCCCAGATATTTTGACTATTGGTACCATTGCTATAAAAGAACATCAAGAACTCTAACTCCAGCATCTCGAAAATTGTCACAGATGCTGAACTGAAGCTTGCACTATATGTTCTATCAATTTAAGCCACACTGAGAAGTGTCTTCTTTACACCGTTGTAACATGCCTCCTCGACACCCTTGTTATAGAAGAGGGGAAGGGAATAGTCTATTTGATGTTGTGCGTAGGAACGCTCAAATAAAATTTGGTGTTCTTGAAGTCATCGAGGAGAGGGTTATATCCATCTTTAGTTCTCGTCTTTGTTGGGAGACCAAATTCTTCCATGAACGCTGCTGTATCGAGCTACAACAAATATTTACATGAATGAATATAAACCAACGAAAAGTAGAGAAGGGGAACTTTGGTTTCTCACAGCTGATGAGTAGGAATTACCGAAATAGTACGTCTTTTCTTTCCCCGCTTCACTGACGTGTCATCTTTTTGCTGCTTCTTCCACCCAGAGCAGTAATGATCCATCTGTTCCAAGAGCAAAAAATCTGTTGGAAAGAATATGTCGGCGTCCCCCTGCAAATTAAAAAAAATAAAACATTGCGGCCAAGTACAGATGCTATTACACAATAGATATTCAAAGTTTCACATGTTCAAGAGCATAATGATTGAAACATCGAATACGTAAAAATTTATTTAGATAACAAGTACGTGCAGTGGTGGCTCAGGGCGTGTTTGGTATGAAGGAAATTATTTTCCATGGAAAATGTGTTTTCCTGGAAAATAAGTGGTTTCTTACTTATTTTCCGATGTTTGATAAGTATGTAGCGAGCATTCATATATAATCTAGGCTGAAATAAAAAATTAAAAAAAGTACTCTCTCTGCTGGAGTGGAAGTCCAACATACGAATACCTCTTATAAACAACATTTCATGATAAAATCCAGGGAGGAATACAGAAATAAGGATCGGATCACCTTTGCATCCAAATAACTGTTGTAATCAGAGCTGCTGCCATCTTTCTGCATTTATTTGATATGAAAAAGGTAAATGAATTTACAGGAATTAAGTTAACTTGTTATCATAAAAATGACTAAAAGCAGAAAATACCAAAAGCAAGCCTTTGCCTCTTAAGATGCAGAGGATTACGTTATCCCATGTGACATTTTGCAAGAAACAGGTAAGTGCCAGAAAATAAATCAAGCGGAGATGCACGTAAATGAAAAACATTGCAATCAACACTCACACTGGTTCTTCTGATACCAATCTTTTCTTTATCAATCCCAATAGTTAACAGGTAAATTTGTAACCTACATGCTGTCAGAAGGTCTGAAGAATAGTAAAACAGTTCTAACACAACAACCACCACCCAACCAAACTTGCCTTGCGACTCACTAATTTAACCATTAGACACTCAAAAATGTAAGAGCGTGACTTTTTGTCAGTTTTAAGGTTTTAAAAGAATATCCAGGTTCTGCACAAGGACATCTAAAGACCGGACCAGCTAGTTGATTTAAATTTATTGATAAAACCAAGTTGTTCCAAGGCTTTGGTCTAATTGTAAGAGCGTAGCATGTGATGCGTAGGTTAGGCACATGTCACAGGTTTGAACCCCACCACAGGCAAAAGCCTGGTATTTAGGTGGAGAAAGGTAGAAGGGCGGGGCCTATTATTCACCGAGTCCCAAACGGTGCGCAACTATCCCTCAAAGATTTCTGAGTTTTCAAGCCTGTAGAATAGGAGAAATGGTGGATCTACAGGCTCCTACCATGGCTTCCAATTTATTCTTGCATCACTTCTGCTGTCACATATTCTTGGCGTCTTATTTGCTCATAATTTTCTCCACCTTCCAAAGTAAAGCTATGCTACGTATTCATATATGAGGGTATGTATAGTTTCTCACTTTCTTAGTAATTTTTCTTCTTTTTTAATTGTTAGAGGGTTTAGGAGTCCAAAAAATGCACCCTTGTCTTGTTTGATAAACTAATTTGACTAAGACGTTTTAGTAGTGCAAGTATTAATCAAAGATCGAGAGAGGCTACAACGAAGCGCAGAAAATCAATGGCATAAGGAGAAAAAGTGAAATGTACCTTGGTTGAAACCAGAGGAGCTCTTTCACCAGGAATTTTAACATCAGGTAGATAACTGAAATCGGAAGCAATTAAAGACATCTTCGGTAAAGCTCCATGTAAAACTTCTAGAAGTTTCTGAATTTTAGGAAGTAGCACTGCATGAGTATATGATATTTTTTTCCCAAGCATGAGCATTTAATATGTTAACCTAAACTGAGGAAAGAGCTCAATCAACATTGCAGAATTATTACCAAGCAACCAGTGGGAAGCCAACACCATCTTGGCTTAGGAAACACTTTTGCCCAAATACTTTTCATCGCCGAAGAAACCCTGCTCCCACCCGTTGTAGCATCAGGCATATCTACGATCTCCATGCAAGACTTGATTAAGGAGTCTTGAATTGGCCTATACAACTCTGAGAGTTCTTCCCTGTTAAAAGAAGACAAAGACGTGTTTTAGCATTATATGCAGATTTGACAATCTTGCTTGGCCATCGTACCTACTACTAATGGACAAAATCACCAATCCGAAATGATTCAATATCAGGCTAAATCCCTCTATAAAGCAAAAATATCTCTCTTATCTTCTCTTACTTCTTTGGGTAGTTTCCTTTTTTCCATATTTTTATGGAGTGGAGTGGCATAAGATATCCTTATGGGAGAAAAACAATACTTACTGCTACTTCTGTTACTAGTTCTCAGGATTTATCAACCAAAAGGCAAAGATTAACTATGCTTGTGCAAATGCTACATTGTTAGCAACATTCATTAGGCTATCCACCTATATACTGTCGAAGAAACATCTCAGTCAAAAATGTAAAATTTGCTTAGCAGAAAAACACTCCAGAATACAAACATCATTATGTCATTGCAACAGTATAAAGTGAATTACCCTTGTTTGCTTTCAACCCACACTTCCATCCACGGAGACATTTGATTCTCAGAATAAATGAGATCATGTGGAAGATTGTCAAGCACCTAAAAGATTACTCAATTGTTAATAAGCTCAATGAATAAAGTTTATGACAACCTCTCAGGCTCACAGTTTAATGGTATAGCAGAAACCAAGATACAAGAATAGACATTGCGTTCGCGTGGAATTTGTAAAGTGCTCATTAGGAGCATGCCATATTTTTGTAATGCATTGTAAGAGGGGGCTCAATTTTTCACCAACCACCCAATTTTACTCATCATGATTGAGCTTCATAAATTAAGTAAGGAAGCCAGTCGTCAATTTCAATGCACACCATATCTTTCTAGAGAAGAACATTACAGACAAAAGAAATAGAGAAAGTAGCCATACCTCTAACATGATAACCCAGCAAGGTTGTTCATCCACATCTCCTGCTTCAACAAGAAAACTTTACGCATTAATGCAAGATAAAGAACAGGGCCATATAAAGAACAGCATCATACCCCATCCACTCCTGTCCGCAGCATCACGACACTCTACTCTAAACTTGGATGAGTGGCTATCAACTTCGCCAACAGTTTGAATCTGTTTCGCTGCAAGTGAGGAACTGATTTCAACCGAACTGTACTCAAGAGAAACGAAGCTTTAGTAATTCTTTATGAAATGATTGAATGAAGAGCCTGCACAGAAAACAATGATAAAAGAAGAGGAACGACATATTCTATGCCGTACTGCTATCTGACACTTCTGAAGCAAAACAATTTGCTCAAGATGTGTTTGAAACTCATGGACACCCTTTTGAAACTTTAGATCAACGTGTAAGGTTAATATCGATTAGAAGTATAACTTTCTACAAATCATTTCTTGTCGTAACAATAAGAAGACATAATCATTTAATGTTTACACTTTTGATATATATTCAGCATTACTAATTCAATGTACTGGGGTTTTTGAAATTTAAATTTATAAAAATATATATAACATGTATTTTACTTTGGTGTCTCATGTTTATATCAGGAAAATAGAAAGAACTTTAACCTTTCAGTTTAATATGATATCCAGGTCGTTGAGATGCATCAGTTCTTGCTTAACTCTTTTTTTTTTTAAAATAATGGTAGTGTCCAGGTCAGTTTGCGCACGCCTCGACTAATTCCACTAGGTACCGGCTACCTATCACCAACACAAGTACTAGATAACTCTATCCACCAAGGCTTAGACAAATGGGACGAAATAACCTAGCGTTTTTGTCTCCAGTGTAATTTGAACCTGAGGCCTCACGGTTCTCCACCCACTTCATTGACCAGTACCACTAGGCTACACCCTTGGGTGCCATTTCTTGCTTAATTCTAAAGTTGATTGTAATATGTTTTACGAAAGGCATGAACTGATATCACCCAAGCTCGGACCTGCTATCATCTTCTCAAAATCTAAGGAGTTACACTTCTAAGTTATATTTTTTATACCCTCCAAGCAGTTAGAACACAGCATTGCATACTTTTAATAACAAAATATGACATAGAGATAAGATTTAAAAAGCACGATAGCATTTAATTAAAAGAAGTGTCTTTGAAGAAAGAGGGCGTAAAATTATACTCTCATGAAAAGAATAGAAAAAATGATCACTAATAATATTTTGTTACTTTGTCAAAAAAAAAATTAGAAAAGAACTAAATGCCTCGGAAAATAATGCATGTATCTAGTCTAAAAAAAATCTTGCATTAGACAATTAAAGCAAAGATCAATGAGCTCCTTTTTCCCTAAGTTCCCCTTAGTCTAGACAACTTTGAGAATATATGGCATCTACCCCACCTTAAGGCCAACAGGTGGAGTGGTACAAAGACCATTATACCCCTTCAATTTCCCTTTTAAACGATGTGGGACATCCTATAATCAACACCTTCCCACATGTGTAATTCGATTCTAAAATTCATCTGCGGACTTCAATGCGGATTTTTTTAATAGAAATAAATACTTCAGAAAACCTAGTAAATCTAATAAGTAATGTTGAACTTTAGAATTACGTGTGAAAGAATCTGAGCATTCGACCAAAACCTTAAAACCGTGAATGGAGTAGTGCAAGACTTTTATAAGCACTTTTACCTCCTATGTGAAACATTATTAATTAGCTAAGGTACCTCAACAAAATTATTGTTCCTCTTTTTCATATCTAATTTGCACAAATGCTTTACTCTGTAACTCTATGGCCATGTAAACAAGTTCATCATGTGTGGCATTCTCAATTAGGTAAAGCACTATGAGCATTATCACATACATGTAACTAATATTATCATAAACTCTTGTCGGTGCATTTAACTTTATGTAATCCAGGATGCCTTTTGCACAGGTTCCTGATCCACCACCTATTTCATATATCTACACCCAAAAGACAGTCAAAATGTAAAGCAAGTGAATGATTGATCAATTAAGTGAAATTTAAGAAGAAAAATAGAGAAAATGAATATTAATAAGTTCCAATGGACAATAAAAGATTGTATGCAGCTAAGAAGCTACATTCTCTAGATATTAACGAACTTACTTTCAGTGGAACAGATAGGTTTGTAGTACGCAAAATGGCTTCAGCAATCCCATGAGCATACCAAGGCTGCAGAGAATTCCATATCACATGATTCGTCTAACAGATAAGTTGGAATACAGGATAGTAAATAATAAAAAGGCTGTGAAGACAAAAGACGCATATAGATCAATGTTCTGACTTCTGGTTATTTGAACTAAAGCGCCTACAAATTAAAAATAAAGTACTCTGAGGAACATAACACATGAATGCATGACAAGATAGCTAAAGTCCATAACTTGGTTAAAAACAAGAAGAAAGACAGAAAAAACTTTCGGTTGTTGGCAATATACAAGAGGAGCTCCTCATATAGGAGTCTAAGCCTATGTAATAAGGTAAGTAACTACTCTGTGCTTACATTATAATAAATAATTATTCCAAATATATCCTAAGAAATAGTCTACATAATTTTCTCACATATAATGAGCAATTACATTTAGAAGCACAAAAGATAGTAATATTACCTTAAAAAGCTCCACTGGAGTAAACCATGAAACATCACTCTGCTTGTAAATCTTATCCAAATGCTTCATGTATGCTTTCCTACCTAAAAAAATCAAAAATCATATTTTCCATCTAAGGACAACTTTTTCTTTAATTATTCTAAAATCAAACTATGACGAAACCTCGTAATTGCACTTGAATAGAGCAAGATGGATGCAGATAATTACATAACTGACTCCAACTAATTTAGGATTAAGGTGTAGTTATTGATTGATTGCACTTCATATTAAGCAGTCAATTTGCTTTACTAAGAACTTAATCCGATTACTACTCAAGAAATGCCAATTAATTCACAAATAGATGAAACAACAGTAAAGTAAAGGAAACGCCAATTACCTTGGAGCTGATTGAACTTAATGCTTCTATCAAGCACTCCAACTGATGCTGATTTCTGGGAGAAATACCCGACATTTGGATCATACAATGCCTTGTGAATAAAATCCCTAACCTTCAAATCAACACGAAACAAACCTTAGCCAATAAATCAAAAAAAAAAAAAAAAACTAAAGGGTGTGTTTGGTATGCCAGAAAAAAGTTTCTTTAAATAATTCCTCTACGAAATCAGAAAGAAATGAGGATTCTTATACCCCGACCCAATTTGTTTGGGATTGAGGCATAGTTGTTGTTTTTGTTGTTTAATTCCTCGACGAAATAATTTTCCACTGTTTGTTAACTTGAACACTGAAAATGTGTTTTTCTCCAAAATAAAGTCATTTCGTTTACAAATATGAACATTTTCACTTAATTAGCAAAGTTATTTTGTTTTACAAATATCGTAAGAGTAATGAAATCATTTTTCAAAATACAAACATTTTCCAGCATAACAATGCACATATACAATATAAACAACAAAAGCAATAAAGGGAATTAGAGAAATTACAAGAATTGGTCTGTCCCCAACAATGTGAGTGGAGTACAAAGCTGAAGAATGCTGACCCAAAAATTCAAAAGGAATCACTGAAGATAAAATTAGGTAAAATTTCAGAAAAATATTAAAGAAAAGTTTAAGTATAAAGAAAACTACTGTAGAAATGAAGGAAATTTTGTTTACCTCTGGGTTTGTGGAAGAGGGAGAAGAGATTTCGTGAAGAGAACGATAGAGGGGCCATAATAATGGAAGATTAAGAGAGGGTTTTGTTATTTCTTTTCTTGAGGGTTTAAGAATTTGTTTATATTTTTTTGTTTCTTCTTTCGGCTAAAATATAATAGTCTCGTTATTGGATTTTCACATTGGACTCTCTTGCTCGGATTACAATTGGTAATTAAAAAGTCCCAGTTTTAAAAATAATTAAATTTAGCCACATAAAATTTGAATAAAAATACTGCTAAAAATATTCCATCATAATATGGTGGAGTTCGAATATTTTACATATGAGCTTCCATCATAATATGTTGTAATTTTATAATGTGCTAAAGTTTAGAATATGCTGGAAGTTTATATGCAGGAGCTCTCGTATATTATGTTGGAATTTTTTGTGTCCTGGAGTTCCAACAAAATATGCTGGAAGTTTATACACATAAGCTCTAGAAATCTCGCATATTATGCTCGAACTTTTTGTATTTCAGCAAAATAATAGTTATTTTTAATGATTTTACAAATACTGTTATTTTTTAATTACTAATCCAAAAAATGACCAGCTTGTGCTATTTTGATTCTTACTCCAGGAGATATCAACCAGCCATCTAAACTTGTTCCAAGTGTCAAAGGCATGACGGCGTGACAGACCACTAAATATATATTCTTAATTTTCAAAATTAAAACTCGAGACTTCTTTATGAAATACTAAAAACTTTTACTATGTTACCACATCCTCCGAGGTTGAATTTCTTAAGTTTGTTTGGAGGTTAATAAAATCTATAATTTCGTACCATTTCAAAGCTGAAACATATGACTTACAAACCTCTTGAATGTTGTAACTAATTAATTCTTAATTTTCTTACAAGATCTTGGTGCAATTCTTTTGAAAAAAAAATATTTAGTTGTTTATTAAAAGGAGCATGAGGCCATATTAGAAAGAAAAAAAAAAGAGTTAAATTAATCATACAATCCTACAAATGCATTTGAGGATGGCTTAGCCGTTAATGAAATGGGTGGAAAAAAAGAATATTAGGTAATCTTTTTATTTAAGTCTTAACATGTATAAGATAAGTATGCTAAAAATAGCAGGTATCAAATAGAATAATTGATATATGCGCGAGCTAATTTGAATTAAAAATATAAAAAAATATAAAAAAAAAAAAAAAGGAAAAACTTCACAACCCCACAACTGGAAACTATGGAGATCTATTATTGGAAAAAGTAGCTTGAGTTTTCTCCAATTTTGAGCCCAAAATCAACTAATCGATGATGAGGTCCATTTCAACCGACCCATGTGTAGATAAACCCGTCTACATCCTGTCCTGTCTATTTCATTGGCCCTAATCATTAATCAAAGCCACATTTTTTATAATTCAACTTAGATTATTTTTAACTTAAGCATAAGTTTAAGGGTTTTTTTTTTGGGTAAGCAATGATGGTTCAATTAACTACTACTATGAGATTATAATTAATAGAAACTAGTTGTGTCCCAATAAGTATTTGAAGTGTTAAAGAAAATTTTGTTTACTGTAAATTTTAATATTTTACACCAGAAATGTTGTCATATGCATTAACTCTCTTATTTAAAAAGTTAAAACTTTGTTTACTTTTAGAAATGGATGAAATACTTTATAAGATTAACCAGCTCCAACAGAGAATTGAATTTCAGATTTTGAGGCTTTGACGCCTCGCCCTTTTCAATTAGGTCAACCTCATTAGCCATAATTAACAATCCATTTTCTTCTTCTTAAAAAGATAAGCAATTAAAGCTTCCTAGCAAAAGCAACAAAATAATTCTCGCGTTCACTTTTACTTATCTACTATACTAAAAATATATTTTCATTTTTACTTGTTCATTATACTAAATCAAGAGAAAGATAATATTTTTTTCCTTGTTTTACCATTATTATTAACTACTCATTCCCCAAATCACTTTCCAAGACTTTTGAAAATGCTATCATTATTATGGATAAAATTATAAAATACATACTTCATTTATTTTTTCTTAAATGAGTACAAAGTCAAAAATGGACAACCAAAAGTGAATAGAGGGAGTGCTCTATTATTTAGTCTAATGTGATGATCCGCCATGTCATCATGCCACATAGGCGCCATTTGACATATGTTAATGCCATGTGGAAGCTTACATAAGAAGAAGACTAGCATTTGTGAGAAGATTCTAGAAAGATATGGACATTTCCTTAGGAAGAACCTAGATCCTTATGGATTTGCTAAGAAAGTCCTTGGAATCTTCTAGACTTGTAGAGAATTCTAGAGAAAGCCCTTATCTTGTAAATATCAAAGATTTGTATATATAATTAATATTTACACACTAGCCCCTAGGAGACTAGTATATAAAGGGGCCACTCATTTGTAATTTACCAAGCAAACAATTCAAGTTCTATCTAATACAAAGCTTCATTTAACAATTCTCTTGTGTTCATTCTTCCATTCTCTTAGCGATCTTGAGTGTAGTAAGGCTGACTTGACATAGCAAGAACGTGAGCAAGTTGTGCAAGATTGTGAGAGAGTTGTCAAGTACCGCACGTGTACTTAGTTAACAGCTAAGTACATGACAACGTGGTATCAGAGCGAAGGTTTCATCTAAGGGAATGGCGAACGACGGAGAAATTAACGCTGCCAACACCTAAGCAAACGTCATCCAAGATGTTGCTGGCCGGAGCGGCCATAGCAAAAAGAGGAATGCCACCAACAAGAGTCAGGAGGTGCCACCTCGGGTTGTGTCAAATGAAGGGCTTGCATCCCAAGAACCATCTGTCACTGAGGCGAGCGAGGATGAAGTAGAGGTCCTTCTAGAGGACATCTCGCTCGATAAAGATTGGGTGATGAAGATGAACGCGGGGATGGACGTTGTGGAGATCTTTGGCCAACGCTTGGGGAAGGTGGAAGGCACCCTTAACGTTCTTGAGGGGCACTCTTGAAGAGATTGAGAGTATCCGAAATGACTTGGAGGGACGTACACAAACTAGGATGGAACTAAGGCAAACCATCACTTCCTTAGAGTGCAGACTCATGGAGGCTTTGAGTACTATCGATGCAATAAAGGCAAAGATAGAGTCACTCGAGGAGCATGTCAATGCTGACGTGACCGAGGTAGCCAGCAATGTTGTGGTGACGAGGGAGGCCAAGATCGAGGCTCCCAAACCCTCGGTGTTCAAAGGTGTTTGTGATGCACAAGAAGTGGAAAACTTCCTTTGGCACTTGGAGAACTACCTCAGGCACGGAAAAGTGAGGGATGACGAGGCCAAGATCAATATTGCGGTGTTGTACCTCTCAGAGACTGTCATGCTATGGTGGAGAAGGAAGATAGATGACGTGGATAAAGGTCTATGTACTATTAGCACATGGGATCAGTTCAAAGCGGAGTTCAAGCGACATTTCTTTCCAAACAATGTCTTGTACGAGGCAAGGCGCAAGCTTAGGGAATTGAAGCAAACATGGAGCATGCGTAACTATGTCAAAAAGTTCACTACCCTTGTGCTTCAAATCCCCAACCTTACCAATGATGACTTATTGTTCCACTTCATGGACGGGTTGCAAAATTGGGCTAAGCAGGAGTTGCAATGCCGACAAGTCACTGATATAGACTATGCCATATTGGAGGCTGAATCATTGATGGATTTCAGGCATGACAAGCACGACAAAGGCAATGGCAAGAAATCAAAGGTTAACAATGTCAAATGTGGGGGAGACCGTGGCAAAGGCAAGGAGATACAACAACAATACTCCAAGACTCAAGATTTCAAAAAGTCGAGTGGCCGTTAGGGCTACGCTGAGAAGAAGGCACATGTCGAGAAGAAGGGATGTTATATATGCGAAGGACCATATGGCTTCAAGAATTGTCCTAACCTCAAGAGCCTTAGTGCCATGGTACGTGAGCGGAAGGAGCAGCCACAAGGAGAGAGTTTGGGAACCACACAGTTGGGTATGATTAGATTATGTGGTATTGTCATGAATCAAGCTATCCAACCTACCAATAATAGCAATCAGTACGTGGATCTCACTATCAACAACAAGCCCGTTCGTGCAATGGTGGATACTGGAGCAACTCATAATTTCGTGACTGAGGCTGCCGCAGAGAGACTAGAATTGAAGCTTGCTCCAACCAACTCTCGCGTCAAGATCGTGAATGCCGAGATACAGAATGCTCGTGGGGTAGCTAATGAAGTTGGTGTCAAATTGGGAACTTGGAAAGGTATGACAAATTTTACTGTAACCGCTATGGATATCTTTGATATCATACTGGGGCAAGAGTTCTTTAGACATTGTCATACTTTAATCGACCCTACCTCCAACGTCTCTTGCTTATGGAATGGGAAGGAGCTCGCATGGTACCTACAGTGACTATGCCACATGGACAAATCCAAGCACAACTCTCAGCTATGCAGGTTGTCAAGGGGATCAAGAAGGGGGGGGGGCAACGTTCGTGGCAACCATTGCAAGTCTAGAGGAAGACAAGAATTTTCAAGAGACAGTGCCGCCTTGCATAGAGAAGTTGCTCGAGAAGAACAAATATGTCATGCCATAGGAGTTACCTAAGCACTTGCCGCCTAGGCGAGAGGTGGATCACAAGATTGAGTTGGAGCCAGGGGCTAAGCCACCCGCATTTTCCCTATATCGTATGGCACCGCCAAGCTGGAGGAGCTCAAGAAACAATTGAAAGAGTTGCTGGATGTTGGTCATATTTGCCTATCAAAGGCACCTTTCGGCGTACCGATATTGTTCCAGAAGAAGAAGGATGGATCGATGCGCCTGTGCATAGACTACCGAGCACTTAATAAGATTACAGGGAAGAATAAGTACCCGATCCCACTCATTGCTGATTTGTTTGATAGACTTGGGCAAGCCAAGTACTTTACCAAGGTGGATCTTCGAAAGGGCTACTACCAGGTTCGCATTACGGAAGGGGATGAGCCAAAGACAGCATGTGTGATGAGATATGGAGCCTTTGAGTGGTTGGTGATGCCCTTCGGCTTAACCAATGCACCGGCCACATTTTGCACCCTTATGAACAAGATTTTTCATCCTTATCTTGATCAGTTCGTGGTAGTCTACCTAGCAACTCCTTGGAGGAACACATGGAGCACTTAAGGAAGGTTTTCCAAGTCTTGCGGGAGAACGAGCTATACATCAAGAGAGAGAAGTGCGAGTTTTCACAATCAAAGGTGCACTTCTTGGGCCATGTCATTAGCAATGGCAAGCTACGCATGAATGAGGATAAGGTACATGCTATCCAGGAGTGGGAGACACTCATAAAGGTAACTGCATTGAGATCCTTCCTTGTCCTTGTTAACTACTATCGTCGGTTCATCAGTGGATACTCAGCAAAGGCCGCACTGTTGACTAAGTTGCTAAAGAAGAACAAGCCATGGGTTTGGATGGAGCATTATCAAAAGGCGTTTGAATGCCTCAAGGCATCTGTAACAGAGGAGCCAGTCTTGGCATTACCTGACTTTGCCAAGACATTTGAGGTGCACATAGATGCCTCAGACTTCGCCATTGAGGGTGTTTTGATGCAGGATAAGCATCTCATAACATTTGAGAGCCGCAAGTTAAATGAGATGGAGCGGCGTTACACAATGCAAGAGAAGGAAATGACTGCCATTGTACATTGCCTTCGTACATGGAGACATTATCTGCTCGGGTCGAGGTTTGTGGTCAAGATTGATAATGTGGCTACTAGCTACTCTTAGACATTGAAGAAGATCACACCAAAACAGGCTAGGTGGCAAGATTTCTTAGCCGAGTTTGATTATGCACTGGAGTATAAGCCGGGAAAAGGTAATATTGTAGCCGATGCCTTGAGCCGGAAAGCCGATCTTGCTGCAATCACTTCAGCGAGATGGGACATTTGGGAGACTATAAAAGAAGGCATGCAACATGATCCAGCAGCCAAACATCTTATCGAGTTTATGCAGCAGCATTGCGCCGCGGTTATCGTAATATTGGGTGGGGGAGAGTGTGATGACCCGCCATGTCATCATGCCACATAGGCGTCATTTGACATATATTAATGCCATATGGAAGCTTACATAAGAAGAAGGCTAGCATTTGTGAGAAGATTCTAGAAATGTATGGATGGACATTTCCTTAGGAAGAACCTAAATCCTTATAGATTTGCTAAGAAAGTCCTTGGAATCTTTAGACTTGTAGAGAATTCTAGAGAAAGCCCTTATCTTGTAAATATCAAGGACTTGTATAATAATTAATATTTATACACTAGTCCCTAGGAGACTAGTATATAAAGGGGGCCACTCATTTGTAATTTACCAAGCAAACAATTCAAGTTCTCTCTAATACAAAGCTTCTTTTAACAATTCTATTGTGTTCTTTCTTCCATTCTCTTAGCGATCTTGAGTGTAGTAAGGCTGACTTGACATAGCAAGAACGTGAGCAAGTTGTGCAAGATCGTGAGCGAGTTGTCAAGTACCGCATGTGTACTTAGTTAACAGCTAAGGACGTGACACTAATCTGCACAAGCTTTGTTTTACAAAGTTCTGTTGGTGGAAAAAATACGGTGCCCGATAAAATAATTAAGGTGCATACAAGTTGACCCGAACATCACTATCATATAGGAAGAATTAAAATAATTAACAGTAGCATTACAATATTATCATATTTTCTTCTTTGTCTCGTGTCAAATTGTAGGCAAATAGAAGGGATTGAAGCCTCAAACTCTATACTACAACAACAATAATATACCTAGTATGATAGAGTCTGGGAGGATGGGGTGTACACAGACCTTATCTCAACCCTGTGTGGTATAGTGAGGTTGTTTTCGATAGACTTCAAGAAAAGCGTTCGCAAAATACTAGAGTAAAAAGCTATGATAAAAATACTGAAGAAACGAAAAAGATTGACAACAAAAATAGTAAATATAACCAAAAAAAAGATAGTAGTAATAAAATTTAATAATAAGATAATAATAAAATTCTATACGTTAATCAAATTCGGTAATCTTAATTAAGACAAAGATGACAAGGAAGACTTGCTTTGTTGGTAAAGCACCTCGAGTCACTGGAGGGGAAGTATGAAAATAATATAAATCCTCCTAAATTGGGAGGGAATTTAAAAAAAATAAAAATTAAGACAAAGATGTGACACTTTAACTAATGCTTATTTAGTAAACTAAAAAAGAATGCTTTTAACTATTTCTAATGGAAAGCTCCCCATTCTCTTTCTCTTGAACACGGGCGGATTAGGGTGTTCAGGTGAACCTTTCGTCAAAAAATTATACTGTATATATAATGTATAATCTATTTTTTATTTATATATATTATGTTTTGAATTCCCTTGACATAGCTAAAAGCATAGCTTAGTGGTCAAGGGGTTCAAAACTTTTGTAAAATCATTGGTCCTATTCCTACTAGATATATAATCTTTTTAACTTTTTTTGAACCCCTTAGGATTAATCCCGCCTCCGCCACTGCTCCTAAAAGTGGTTAAGTCAACTCGCTGCGGCGAGAACTGTATGCAGCAATCATGGAGTTCAATTACTCGACTGTATTTTGTCTATTTTAATGACATTAGGCTCCTTAATTACGTTAAGTTATTCATTGATTTGTGGAGCATTTTTAATTTGGTTTGGCTTTGCATTGAGTTTTTTCAAAACTTAAAACAATTTAATATGATTTCAAAGAAGGACACTGCTCGAGAAACATAGTGATTTCAAAGAGTAATAGCATGTTTGGACAAGTGTTTTTTTTAAAAGTTAAAAGTGTTTGACCAAGTTTTTGAAAGAAAAAAAAAGTATTTTTAAATAGAAGCAAAAGTAATTTTGAAAGTAGATTTTCTCTAAAATATATTTTTTTTTAAAAAATACTTTTGAATAAAATACACTTAGAATCATTTTTTAAAAGTTTAGTCACTAGTTGCTCTCAGAAGTATTTTCAAATAAATTAGTCAAATATAAACTAATTCTCGCTAAAACTACTTTTGGAAAAATCAATTATCAAATTAGATAATGAAGTTAAAAAACAAGTGATTAGAAGAAAGTGAACAACAACAATAACACACATCTAGCAAGTGGAGTTTGAGGAGGATGTGATGCAACCAGTGGCGGATCCACATGCTGAAGCACAAATTATCTTTGACAAGATTTAGTAAATTTGTATAGCTAATTATAAAAATATTTAGATAAATATTGGATGAGCACCCGTAACTAAACTTTATTTTTCTTTTCTTTCCGAATTTTTATTAGTGAGTACCCACGATTTTAAAATCCTGGATCCGCCACTGGATGGAACCTTAAGCTTATCTTGTGAAAGGCAGAAAGGATGAGGTCTATCATGTATGCATGAATCACAGTTAATTCATGCATATTTTAACTTTAATATATGATTAAATAATTTAATTAATATAATTGTAAACGTAGTGTTTATACGGTTTACTCCCTTTCTGCTATCTTACCTGTCACCCCCCTTCACTGTGTTGTGATTGGATGCGTACCAGAGATAGAGACAGCATAAAGAGACAAGAAAACGACAGTACAGAGCAAGACATCGCTGTCTTGTCCGTTCTCTACCTCCTACCCCTCCCTCAACCCCACCCCCAACAGTCACCTAGGAAACACCATTTTCAACCTTCTTAGTTACACCCATTACCCACCCAAGGTCATTAACCGGTTCCTTGTTTCGTGTCACCACAACACCAATTAAGCTCTTAAAATCAGCTGTAACTATTTGTTCTTCAAATAGTTACTGTGCAAAACTCACATTTAGTGAAATTAGAGATTTTTTGGTTAGTTTAGTTTTTGGAATGAAAATGTACTCGGCTTTGCCATTTGGTATGGAAGGAAACGCCATAGGCGGTGGCAGCGGCGGAGTTGGTGAATATCAAAATATGTTGGGGGATGCTTGCTTGGTTTTGACGGCGGATCATAAGCCCCGTCTCCGGTGGACGGCGGAGCTCCATGAACGCTTCGTTGACGCCGTCACCCAACTCGGTGGCCCTGATAGTAAGTTTACTAATATTATTTCCTCTTTTTTTTTTCTACTTTTGGTAGGATCATTTTTCATACTGGAAAGTATTTTCTAGGAATATAATGATGTTTGGTTGGCTAGTGAAAATTACTATTTCTCAAGAAAATGTTTGTCAGAAATTACAATGTTAGCAATATGGATAGTGTGTTACTATTTCGCTTGCCGTAGTCTCAAGGCCGGCTAGACCCTAAAAAGCAAGTGAAGCGCTTGCTTTAGGCCCAAGAATTTAAGGGCCCCAAAATTACTATTTTTTTATATGTAGTATATAATTTATATAATTATCGCTTATTATTGATAAATTTATTTCTTTGTTTTCATATTAATGTTGACTTCTTCCTAAGATTAGTACAACCAAATTAGTTTTCTGCCAATCTTATTTTACGTTTTTACTGAATTATTTTACTCTATTGTCATGTAACTATATCTAATAATCTAACTTATTAGTTATTTTACTCACATAAATTATACTCTTGCCGCCCCAATATATATGAAGTGTTTGACTGGGCATGAAGTTTAAAAAAAAGGACTTTTGAAACTTGTGATCTAAAACAAATCATAAAAACTTGTGTAGCTAGAAATCATCTCATTGAGGGAAAAGAGAAAAATTTACAGTTGAATTATTACCAAATATAGAGAGGTATTCTTTTTAGGCAAACTGAAAAAGAGAGTGTCACACAAATTAGGACGGAGGGAGTGTGTTTTCTAGGTTCTCTCATTTTAGTTGTGATGCAATCAACGTTAAATTCATTCAATATTTTGTACTTTATAAAACCAAGTTCTCATTTTTTTCATTCCACGCTTGTCTATATGTATTTATTTAAGGTCTCTTATTAAGGCTTTGCTTTAGGCCTCGGATGCTATTGTCGCGCCTGCGTAGTCTCTATCGTAATTGCTGTGATTTGGTTTTATTGAGCCGAGGGTCTTTCGGAAACCAACTCTCTACCTTCACAAGGTAGGGGTAAGGGCTGCTTCCATACTACCCTTCCCATACCCCACTTGTGAAAATATACTGGGTATGTTGTTGTTGATGTTTAGCAATTTGGATGGTGTTTCGATGAAATTTTCTAGAATTATAGATTGATAATAGTAACATCTAACAGACAGTTGGTTGGAGCAAATGATATGAAATTAAAAGCTAAGATAGTTATAAGTACTAATGACTTCTAGTAACCCAAACACTAAAGACTTTCTAGGAAAAAGATTTTCCTGGAAAATTGACACGCACTTTTTCCTGTGCTTTTTGTTTTCCTCCTTACTTTTGTATCTTTTCTGAGCCGAGGGTTTACCGGAAACAGTGTCTCTAGGTAGGGGTAAGGACAACATACACACTACTCTCACCAGACCCCACATGTGGGATTTTACTGGTTTTGTTGTTGCTGTACACACTTTATAGCTCTCATTTTTTTCCTTGCACGTGTAGTATACACAAAAAATGGTGGATCATGGGATGAGTAAACTACTGAATTGATATGCTAATATACGACATATTAGTATATTACACTAAACATTGCTTTAGAATAACATAACATTTTTAGGCTGCTTAGGATGCAAGTTAATATGAACTAATGGCATATGATTACATAACTGTTTGGGTTGGGTTGGGTTGGGTTGGGTTTGGTTTGGTTTAGTTTTGCGTCTTGGAACAACAATTAGTAGTCTTGCTATATGTAAATCTTCAGAATTTTCATAGATTCTTCTTGAATTGTACCTTCTCTTTACTTGTCCTATTAAGGTAAGGCAGTGACACAATGTTAACTGTGGAATTTTTGCTTCACTTTGCAGAGGCAACGCCAAAAACAATTATGAAGGCAATGGGGGTGAAAGGACTCACCCTATATCATTTGAAGTCACATCTCCAGGTTCTTTTATCGTCTCATATTTTCTGAACAGAATATTAGTGTTATAGTTGCCAAGACGCTCTTCCCTGTATTCAATCAAGAATCCACCACAAAATCCATCTCTGCACTAAGTGTGACGAGTTTAGCTTAAGTACTACCATAATCTAGTATCTCCCAAATTGAATTAGGAGCAACTTTGACCCAATTTCAGAATTTTAGCCAAATTCCTAATTTTAATTTACTTAGATAAGAAGCTAGGCCTTAATTGTTTAAGTTCAATGCGAGTCATGAGGATTGAAATGGTTATAGGTTTCGCTGATTTCATCACTTTGACGAAATGGTTATAGTTGATGAATTCATGATGTCACTAAATTTAAATCGAGAAACATGGCCAATGAGGACTCATATAGCAGATCGCAACTTGTTTGGGATTGAAGCATAGTTGTTGATACAAGGACTATGTACAGTTCAGTTTAACTTTCAGTTTTGGATGAAGAGGAAAAGAAAAAGTGCAAGACCGGAGTACAAACAGATGAAGAATAAATACTTCACACAGCTCAGTTTAATTCTCAGTTTTAGCCAAACAAGAAAGCATAAGGATTCGGGTCGAAATGGAAGGAGATCTGCAATAAGTAGTTCAAAGTTTTTCAATTATAGTTTGCAAGCATATCCTGAGCTCTTTATATTTTCCATCTCCTTGCAGAAATACCGCCTAGGGAAGCAATCTAAGGAGGGAGCTGAGAACTATAAAGATGGTATTAGAGAATTTTTTCTTTGAACACTCTGACCTATGCCCGCAAATTATCCTAATTATTGTGGCTTGCTTGCAACTTCTCCATTTCCTTAAATGGCGCGTTAATGACTATGTACCTACAATCAAAAAAGATGATTATGTATCTACAAATTTAATGGACTACTTGAAATCATTCTTGTGGACGCTATTTTGTTGAAGGTTTTTAATTTTTTTTTAAAGAAGAGTATTTGAGGTTGAAGTTGTAAAAGGATATTTGGAAACTGAAGTTGTTTTTGGGCATAATATCTCTTAGAGTTGAAGATTTATGAGTAAACCCCACTATTCACTTGAAATGCTACTCAAGCAAGTTTTCAACGTTTCACCATTTTTCAAATATTGAAGCTCACTTTTCGCAAATACTGACGGCCAAACCAGTATTGCAAATACTAAAGTATTACTTATGGCCAAACGGGGAAATAACATGCAAAATTTTGATTTTTAAGAATGCTGCATATGTGATATATGATATATCTCTGCGATAATGTTGAAAGATTTCTGAGCAGCGTCCGATCAATGCTAATTCTATGTAAATTCCAGCGTTTGATTGCCATTCTTCTTTTGTTGCTCTCTTTCAATTCGCTATGCTGTCTGCATAGGAGACTTTTTGTCAACTCTAAATAGTATATCTTTTAGGCCATTTCTTTAAATATAATTAGTGTCGTTGATATGTTTACTATTGACACCTCCGAGAGGAGTATATAAGGGCATGAGAGTATATGTGAATTACGTGAGGATATATATAGACAAGAACGGTTTATACACTATTGTTTTCTTTTCAAAAAGCGATATGACTATGCTTCCTCTAAGCCGAGGGTCTATCGGAAAATGCCTCTCTACCTTTACAAGGTAAAGGATAAGGCTGCATACACACATTACACTCCCCAAACTTCACTTGTGGGATTACACTGGGTTTGTTGTTGTTGTATATATAAACAAGAACAGAGTATATGATGGACATGTGAGTATGGGGATTACTATCTCCATAAGGAAGAAAATATGGTGGTTGCTATATCTTACCTTTCTGAGCGATTAAATCCTAATTCTTACATTGTTACTAGCAATGTGTGTTAACAGCATCATGTGTGGCAGAGAGTCAAGAATCTCAAGATACAGGTTCCTCTGCATCGGGTTCATCAAAAGTAGTCACCCAGGATATAAATGAGTATGTAGTGTCTTCAGAAGTTCTTCTTTGGAAAAGGTTTTGTGTGGTTTGCATCAATTTTATATGTTTTTAAATCTTTTCAGCAGTGGGTACCAAGTTACCGAGGCTTTTCGGGTACAGATGGAAGTCCAGCGAAGACTACATGAGCAGCTAGAGGTTGGTCCCTTCCCCTCTTCTTGCACATATTTTTGTGTTTGTGTAATTATGTATCTAACACTCTAACTTCCTGTTGGGCTAACGCAACCCAATTATACTCTTATTATGGTATGATATTGTCCCCTTTCGATCAAGCCTGCACAGTTTTTTCTAGAGGCTTCTCACAATTAATTATTAAGTGTATCTCTAACTTATATGTGGGACTTCGTTTGCACCCAACACTTCTGATTTTAGTGCCTAGTGATCAAGATGCTTCTGTGGCTTCAGGCAGTTATTGACTAATAGCTTAGCCTTCGACCAAAGTTTTCCAGACTTAGACTGGAGGACTTTTGGGAACCAAAGGAAACAGAACACAAAACACAAACACATTCACTACCTGTGCTGAATTCCCTATCTTCAATCAGTTGGGACATATGAGCTGTCCTTTCACATACCAAATGTATGACAATATGTTCCGGCCAACTGTCAGAATTTTTATTTTCTTCTTCTCTTTTTCTTTTTATCCTTTATTAACCTTTGAGATTAGGGAGGAGACTATAAACTACAAAAGGATGTATTCTTCAAAGTTTTGTGTATTTATGAATATCAGAGTAGGTTGCTTTGTTGAGTAATACAGAATAAATAGTGTTATATTTCGTTAAGTTACTGATGACAGGTCAATTTAGTGACCAAACATGGCTGAGTTCTATGCCTTTCGATCATTTCCATCTTTAAATTGATGAAGTGCGACATGCTTTCTTAACTTGGACCAAATGTAACATCTCTTTATTAAGTTCTTATATGAAGGTTAGTTGATGGTATGTTATTATAATCAAACTTTTGAGGTAAGGTCTGCGTACACTGTACCCTCCCCAGACCCCATTTGTGGCACTACACTGGGTGTGTTGTTGTTGTTGTTGTTATATTATAATCAAACATAAGTTTTTTTGATTTATCAAAGTAGGTACAACGCCATGTCCAGCTTCGTATTGAAGCACAGGGCAAGTATTTGCAAACAATTCTTGAGAAAGCATGTAAAGCTCTTAACTACAAGGCCGTGGCATCTCCTGATCTTGACGCGGCTAGGGAACAGCTTTCTGAATTGGCTATTAAAGTTGAGAGTGACTGTGATGGGATTGTTACAGTTCCTTCATTACCCGAAGTTGTTACAAGCTTTGAAAACAAAAATGCTCCTAACATGCCTGCTAGAATTGGAGATTGCTTGATCGACGTCTGCTTTCCACCAAATAGAAGTCCGGTTTCTCCCACAAGCATAGGTGCTCTAAAGAAGAGACCACGAGCTTTTGCTAATGCGGATGCCTTGCCCGTGGAAAACAATATGAGGCAAGTGCAATGGATGATGACTAATTCATGATTGAAGTTGGCTATATGAATCCTCGTTTTGCTTATCGCTCCATTTTAGCTCATCTCAGTCCAATATTATATTAGTCCCCCTTTATCTGTTTGATCCAGAAAGATCCAATATGTTAAATTCCACATGAAACTTTTACATTTTTCAAGATTACTTTGTACATTCTGTAAGGTTTATACCAACTACCTTTTCTAAGGAAGTTCATTCTTCTGTACTTGACTAAAAAAAAGGACGGCCTGGTGCACTAAACCCCCGCTATGCGGGGGGTGTCCGGGAAAGATCCGGACCTCCAGGGTCTATTATACGCAGCTTATCCTGCATTTCTGCTAGATGCTGTTTCCACCACTCAAACCCGTGACCTCTTGATCTCTTTTTTTCCCGGTAAGATTGTGCTTTGCTCTGCTAGTTCCGCCCAAATCCGTTCTCTTATCTAACATATGCATTCCGGGGGCCAAAACTGTCGGCCCTTTTCTATAAACATAGGGGGGTAAGTGCATATATAGCCGTTTTTAGGACCCCTATATAGGATATAGCCAAAGTTTACATGATTTTGTAAGTTTAGCCGCTTCAAACTGAATTTCAGTTCCTAATGATAGTGCAAATTTTTGTGCTAAACAGAACATTTTAACTTTAGCAGTTAAATATTAAAGTTAAAATATATGTCTTGCATTTATTGATTTGATATAAATAATGATAAACTTTAATCCATTTAATTCTTGAAAATATAAACACTTAACCGAGTCAGTTATTGGCTTTCCTTATGTTCTCTAACCAAAAGAATTTCAATGAATGTAAATCACTATCCTCAATTTTTTCGAAAAACAACATATCGTACATGAAATCAGCTAAAATAATTGTTCTATAAAGAATCATGTCGGATTGCTTAGATCTTTATGTTAGGGAGAGGAAAACGGCGTGAACGAAACAAAAGATATTCAATTACATGTAACATGTCATCACTTTTGGCAGTTGAATATCTTATCCACTTGACTACATTAATATCGACTCATATTATATACTTAAATAAAATAATAAATTCTTAGAAAAAAAAGAAGGGTTTGGTTATTTCTTCTTTCTTCTCATATGGAAAGTCTCAGGATAAGATAAAAGAGTGGAACAATCTAAGATACCTTATATACGAAGTTAGCTAAAATAATTGGTTTACTTCGACTTCATATTTTCTTAAAGATATTACTTGCATGATTTTATGTGAATATATTTGATCGGATATAAAGTGCTACTAAATGATATTATCAAAAATAAAATAAAAATTTTAAAAAATAAATTATTTTTAAATATACAACAACAATAGTAACAAGCCCAATATAATTTTATACGTGAGGTTTGGAGAGGATAGTGTGAAAGCAAACCTTATCCTTATCTTAAGAAGGTAGATTTATTGTTTCCGTTAAATTCTCGGTTCAAACAATTATTTTTAAATATAAAATAATTATTCTCTTAAAAATGGATTAAAATGAAAATAGTGTCATGTAAATAGTTGGTATCTGTTCCAATTTTTTTGCTAAAATTAGTTATTTGAGTAGAAGCTGTAGTAGCAATTCTGTCCAAAATTTTTAGCTTTCCTAATCATCATAATAATTAACAGCAACTTCTATCCGGTTGGGCGGCTGGACCTTTCCCTTAATTTTCTACTTCTGTTTTAAGTTTATTTCTTTTAGTTCCTTTTTGAATAATAAATGTTTAACGTCGAGAAAACATTCTAGAGATCTCCGAATTGCCACTATTCTATGCTAAAATAATTTTCCTCTTCTTTTTTTCTTAGAGATATAATATATACATATATCATATGGCTAATATGGTCTCGAATGTTGCTTTCACTTTTACTTAAAGGTTGTTTTTTCATATATATTCATTCTCAAGCGTCTAAAATAAATTGTAGCCATGCTCCTTGCCACATTAGTCGTCTATGTAGGGGTGTGCATTCGAATCGGTTTATCGATAAATCGAATCGATTATTTGTTATCGGTTTATCGATTTCGATTTTTCGGTCTATCGATTTCGATTTCGATTTCAAAATTTTCCTTATCGATTTATCGATTTCGATTTCGATTTTGTCCTCTTCGATTATCGGTTTATCGATAAACCGATAAGCTACAGTAAATTGTTTTTAATTTTTTAAAATTTTTTTTTTAATTTTTTTAATTTTTTTTTACCCTTATTCTATAATACCCTTTCCTTTACCCTAAGTCTCTAACCCTATTATTTCCTCTACCACATTTAAGGAATGATCATATTTAAAGCTCAAGGGAATGAAGTTCAAATTAATGGAAAACAGAATTAGCCGTGATAATGTATTTTGATTTTTTATTTGTTTATACCGTTGGAGTGTTGGTGACATACATTTGATCCCTTACTTTAGTTTCGTTGCATGTGCTTGTTGACACAATTTTTATGTTATAAACGGTGCTCTTCTTATTTTAGCTTCCTTTTGTCCATATTAGTTAGGTGTGTTTGCAGCGATATACTTTCCGTGGAATCCCGTAAATTTTCTTATTGGTGTAATCGATAACCGAATCGATAAGCCCCAAAAATCGATAAATCGAAATCGAAAAAATCGAAACCTTATTGAAACGATAACGATATGCATATGTACAAATCGATAATCGATAAGTAATTATCGATAAGGGTCAAAATCGAATCCACGCCCCTACGTCTATGAGGTCAAATATGTCAAATTGCTATGTTCAAGGGTAATTAAGACAAGTCATAGTATACACATAATATAGTCAGATTTAGAATTTAGAATTTATATGTTTCTACGCGATCTCAAATTAATATATAAATAATAATCAAATTTATCATTTAATTGATTTCTTAAATCTTAGCAAAAATTATTAAGTTTACTTGAATTTATATTTATTGCAGATACGTCCATGTGTGTATACCAAATGAAATGAGTCAAACTTAGAAGGTATTTAAAAGGTGATTAATTTTTTTTTTTAAAGAAAATTCCTAGGGAAATCCGTAGCCGCTACTCTTTGGGTACGCATTGAGTAACCTGCTCAGAAGATGTAAATCGCATTAGGCACGTTGGTGCTAGGGCTGTGCACGGATCGGATTGGATCGGATTTAGCCTATTTCGGATTCAGATTTCGGATTTCGGATTCTGAAAAGGGCAATCCGAATCCGATCCGAATTAACATTGGATTGGATCGGATTTTAAACTTTGGATCGGATAATTTTTCGGATTGTCGAATCGGATTGTCACAAAAATTTTCAACAATTTAAAGTTCATTCAGTGTCTCTATCTCATCTTCCATCTACCAAAACAAACAAAAAAATCAAAATAAAATCAAAAGTTGAAGAATAGAACATGAAATAGACATAAAAGACAAAAGAGAAGAGAAGAGAGGCGGAAGAAAGAGACATAAAATCAAAGTAAAATCGGAAGTTTGAGTCATTGAGACTCTTTTAGTCTTCACTAAAGAGAAGAGAGGTGCAAGAGAGGCGGAAAAATCTAAGTGAGTGAGAGGGTGTGTGAAAAATGAATAAGCATAACCCTAAAATTTTAGTGTGTATTTATATAGGTACATATAATTTCGGATATCGGATCGGATCGGATTAAAATCATACCAATCCGAATCCAATCCGAAAATCCGAAATTTCATAAAACACAATCCATATCCAATCCGAAAATCCGAAATTTGAAATCCGAAAATCCGAAATAGAGTGGATCGGATCGGATTTCGGATATCCGATCCAAATGCACAGCCCTAGTTGGTGCGACAAACTCTGACTGAGAAGACTGTTGGTGAAGAAAATCAATTTTAGATCTCCTATACAGATAATCACTCACCCAACTAACTCAGCCAATTTTTACTGGCCTATTGATTAAATATTTAAGATAAAGAGAAACAAGTAAATTCAGACATCTAGAATTTTGAATTTTGATGTCAAACATTATTTTTTCAAAAAGGAAGCTAACAAAACTTTTAAAAGGTTTAAACGGATAGAAGTTAGCTGTATAGTACTACTACTCCTCAATGATGACAACAATAATGTAACGTTGAAAAATGCACGTGGTGTCTCCTGAAGCTACAATCAGTTTTCTATTGTGACTAATGAAACACTCAAAGCCACCATACGACATCGTAAAAGCCTACAGAAAAACAATAAAAATCTGTACACAAATGGGATTATACTGTGTTGTTGTTGTACACAACACTTTCAAGTCCTATGTCTACTTCAAAACATTTATTATTAGGGGTACCTAAATCAAGAAACAACAGTTTCCACTATATTACAAGGTCTAAAATTTTATGGGATATTTTTTTCTGATTGGTTTGCTAATGGGTTTTCGTGAAGGAATCAATTGGTGATCTTTAAGGGGAGAATGTTCAATTTTTGTGCAAGTTTATCAGAAAAAACTGGACCCTTTACTTTGTTTAGTAGTAAAGTTGGAATTTTTACTAGAATTTTGGGGTAACAAAATTGATGGGATATTTTTTCTGGTTGGTTTGCTATTGAATTTTCATGAAGGAATCAATTGGTGATCTCTAAGGGGAGAAAGTTCAATGTTTTTGTAAGTTAATCAGTAAAAAGGTGGACCCTTTACTTTGTTTAGTAGTAAAGTTTGAATTTTTACTTGTACTTTTGTGGTAAAAAATTTGATGAGATATTTTTTCCGGTTGGTTTGGCTTAGGTTTTCTTGAAGGAGTCAATTGATGATCTCTAAGTGGAGAAAGTTCCAATTTTTTTGTTAGTTTATCATAAAAAATAATGGACCCTTTTCTTTGTTAGGTAGTAAAGTTTGCATTTTTTCTAGTATTTTGGGGGTGAAAAAATGGCTTGTGAGGGTAGCTATATGTGGAGTTTGAGTGGTATTGTAGCAGCTTTTGTTGATCTAGCTATAGCATATTTCTTGCTTTGTGCAGCAACAGTAGCTTATTTAGCATCAAAGTTTCTTGGTTTTTTTGGTTTAAGATTGCCATGTCCTTGTGATGGTCTTTTTGGTAATGGGAATTTATGTTTTCATAGACTTTTGATTGATTTCCCAGCTGAGAAAGTGTCTAATGTTCAACTTTCTGTAAAAGCAAATTTCCCTTTTAAGGATACCATGTGGGGAAAGGACCAAACTTTGAATTGGAGATTAATTGGTGAAAGGGAGAATAGTCCTAATAGGTTTCTTGAAGTGGGTGATGAGGCTTCATGTAGTTCAGTATCAGATGCAAGAAAGTCACAAAATAATATT